TGCTTGTCAGTTCAGTAAAAGAGGGAAATTAAAAACCCTTCCACCTGCCCCCAGGAGCAGCTGTTGAGAAATCTGAATTCTATGGGAGATTATCAGAACTCTTTGAATCTAGCTAATTTTGTCTTACTTTCAGATCTAAATAACAGCACAAACATTATCAGATATTGCAACACTATCTCCTTTAAAGATGTAATATAGTTAGTAAACTGGCCGTTGGTAGGAATTCTCAGGCTGAATGCAGTTGCTTCCCTGGAAGACCTGGAAACTTTACATAGTAGTTTCCCTTTGTCCACAGGGAAGGTTTCGAGATTCCCAGTGGATAGCACTGAATCCTATTTTTTCCTATATGTCCATCAGTGTGGCTAGAGTTAATGGGGCCTCCTTTATATCAATTACTATCCTTGTGTTCTGGGGCCATGAATAAAGAAAATAAGGGTTATTTGAACACAAGTCCTGTTGATACTGTGACAGTCAATAGGATAACCAAGATGACGACTAAGTGGCTAACAGGCAGTCAGCATATACAGCATGGGTGTGTGGGACACAGGGGTGATTATAGACAGAAAGATGTCATCAAGCTATTCAGAACAGTGAGCAATTTTAAGACATATGAATTATTTCTGGAATTTTTCATTTTCTATATCTGGATCATGGCCGACCATAAATAGGGAAGCCACGAGGAACCACTGTATTGCTGCTTCAATCCTTGGCGCACATAGATGTTTGTGTGGAGGAGAAAAAAGAAGTACAGGCAAAAGCAACACACAATACTGAGAGAAAGACAGGGAGAGGAGGACCACGGCCATATTGACTAAGCCAGAATCAGGTTAGACTAATGCTATGGCCCAGTTGTAATGGAGAGAGCGCAAGTATGAAGTTCAGGAAAAAGACGTGTTTCTGTGAGATGGCAAATGCAGCCACATCACTGAACATTCTGCCTTTATTTTGGAAAGTAAAGGTTGGAGATTCTGAGGAAATGAAGAGGTCGAGGAGCTGGAAGCATAAGTGATAGCTGAAATTTCATGTTCTCTTTAACTTCGTATTTTAGAGAAGAATTTCCAAACATGTACAAAGACATAGGCAAAGAACAGTTCACGGCCAATCTCATTTCCTTTTTATTCTCAACCATTTTCCTGCCCCATATTTTGAAGGACATCCCAGACATCATTTATTATATTTCTTTTTGCTGCTGGGAATTGAATGCAGGGCCTCATGCATGCTAAGGAGATGGTCTACCATTGAGCTACCATTGTTAAACATAAAGTAACTACTTCAAATATACACTTGATTCTGGGTAACTCCCTGATGGTTTTACTGAAAAACTTTATTTGGTTTCGATCCAAATCAGGTCAATATGATGCAGTTGTTTGAGATCTAAGTCAGATTCTGCAATCTCCTCCATCTTTTTTCCTTTTTACTGTTTGTTTTATTGAAGCAACTATTGTCTTAACGGCTCAGGCCTGAACTTGTCATGACTGCTTAGGTGGTGTGCACTTCTCAGGAGGCAGCAGTGCCTGCCTTCCTGTGTTGTGTCCTTCATTAGCCACACTAGGACCTCTTGGTCCATGGTTCATGAAGGTTACATGTGGCGATATTCCACATTCCCCATCAGCTGGGCTTCTGCTATGGGGAGAATCTGACCTTTCTCAGCTACTATGTTAGCCTGAGGGTTAGTTTGTAGAGGAAAGGTTAGGGTAAATGCTTGATTCTTTTATTTACCAGGTTGCAAAGCAGTAAATTGGTTCCCTGAGATATTCCAAAGGGGATCATAAGATTAAAGAGTCATTATGAAGCTACAGATTTAAGTATATTTGATGTGTTTTAATTAATCCATTTTAGTTTTATTTTGATGTTCTGCCTCAATACTTTTAAAATAATACATTATTCATCATGAGACACCTGTGTACTGAGATACTGGACAGTCACCTCGTGCTCAGGAAAGGAACTTGGTTTCATTCAAGTCTACGCTTACCTCCTCACAATTAGCCCATCTTCTGGGAAAGCAGAGCAGTTTCTGGAGAGAACAAGGCTCAGAAAGGCAAAGCATTGTGAACCTAGGACTGATAGCACACTGAAAGTATTATACAAAAAGCACACTTGTATTTTTGCATCATCCTGAAGATAATTATATCCAGAACAGTTAAATTTGTCACAAGTATGGCTTTGAAGACCAACTGGAAGTATGGAAGATGAAAGTTTTCATCTATTATTTGCATAGCAAGGGTAGTATCAATGTTTTTAGAACCTACAGGGAAAAAGCAAATTCTTGTTCTCCAGCAGGTGTTCTAAGAGTCCTTGTCAGGGCAGATTTGAGCAGATCTGAACTTGACCACAGTGATTTGGGATCTTCCTGAACCCCTAAGTCGTATGGATGCATAGACACATTTTCTTGGAAAAAGGGTCTATAGTTTTTATTAGAGTCTCAAAATACACAATAAGAGAGTTTGAGTACAACTGGGTTTAGTAACCATCAATCTATGAGGTCTGTCTTGTGGTTGGGTCTGAGGATTGCTGATGTGCAGAAAAAATAAACTACTCTGGACCCAAAAGTCTAGATCTAGGGAGATTAATTTACCGGGATGTTCCTCTCAGAGGGACTAGAGGTTCCATGGACAAAGGGGCATTAACTCTTTGTAGGTGTTCTTCCAGGCCAATTTGAAAAAGCTGGTCTGTAGGTTTAGTTACCTGCTTTGAATCCTTAGGACATGCTTATTACCAACCAATTTCATCTCTAGGGACAGGCAAGCATTTCAAATGAGATGTGTAAAAATGAAGATGATGATGAAAGTAGATGGCCATTTTAGGTCTTTATGTCAATCATCAAAATTTACAGATGTGAGCCTTAACTAGGCATTATCTGAATCCTGCAAAACTATTAACATTATAGCTAGTCACATATACTGGAAAAAAACTGTATCCTGCTGAATCTGCATACTCAGAAAAGCATTAAACACAAAGTAGATCTAACTAGCACATAAGTAGCTGAACACTTATGGGGTCAGTGGAGGAGCTGTGAATTAATAGATTGCAGGGTGATTTAGTGACACTGTCATCCCACTGATTGCTACTTGGATGACTTGGTTTCCCCTCATTACTTTGTGTGCATACATTCCGAGATGGAGCACTGAGTTTAACAAGATCTTCTGGGTAGAGAACCATCCTTTGCTGCAAATTGTGAGCATACTGAAAGAAGGTAAGTAGATTAGATTCTCTTCAGATGCAAGTCTGAACAGGTTAAAACAAACTGGGAGCACACACACACAAAACCCTTAAGACTTAGTGAAATGGTGTAAATGCGTGTGAGGTTACGGGGGGTGGTGGGGGGGGACGAGGGAGCCTCAAGTTACCTTTTGAAAGTATCCCTGGTGATTCTGATGCTCAAACATGTTTAAGAACTACCGGCTAGCTGGGCACGATGGCACAAGCCTGTAATCCCAGCAGCTTGGGGGCTGAGGCAGGAGGATCTACAGTTTAAAGCCAGCCTCAGCAACAGCAAGGTGCTAACCAACTCAGTGAGACCCTGTCTCTAAATAAAATACAAAATAGGATTGGGGATGTGGCTCAGTGGTCCAGTGCCCCTGAGTTCAATCCCTGGTATGGGGGAAAAAAATTTGTAAGAACTACTGGGCTAGATCATCCAATGCTCTCAAACATAAATGTCATTTCTGAGGAACATTCATTTCATGTATTTACTGTTTTCTATTTTCTCCCTTGCGGGAACCAAAGGAAGATATAGTTTCAGATATAGAATCTTTCTATTTATGATGTATGAACTACCCTTTGCTTCTATAACTTTGGAAGTTGATTAAGGTAATTAAAGAATGATATTCTATGTAACATCTCCAAGAAAGGAGCAGAACTCTTGATTCCCAGTGTTGCAGATCATAACGCTTTGCTGTTGGCTTTACTATTCTATCCATAAAGTGATCAGGTGTGCAGTTGTCTTAGTATGATTGCAGTGTAATCTTAAAAGATTACACAAGATTCACAGAACTGACCTAAGTGAACCTTTCTCTTACTCATCAATTAATTTCAAAGACTTATTTGTGATATTTTTATAAATTTTTCTGAGACTTGCCAATCATCTATTTACTTTGCCATACAAACATGTTCTAGCAAGTGCCCCAAAACATCCACCAGGCAAGAAATCTTCAGTGATTATGTGTGTGCTTTTTTTTTAATTGTATAATTCGTTTATACAGAGAAATCATTTGATTGATCTATTTACATTTTTTTTCCAATTTTCACTTCTACTGGCAAATATATTTCACATAATAGTCAATATTGACTTGAACTGATCACCATTATAAACCTGCAATGACACAGAACTTTTAGTCTTTTCTCCCTGTCTCATTATAACAGAAACATTTTGCAGTTAAGATCCAGGAGTCTTTTTTCCACTTTATGACTAAATCCACCAAAATTGACCTAACATGGCCAAATTTTCAACACATTTCATTGTTTCTTTTCAAACTTATTTGCAGGTATCATAAACCAAGGCAAATAAAGTCCACATCCCCTCGAGCCTTCTACAACTTACTACATACCCTCAAAAAGAGCTTTTCTATCTCCTTTCATCCTCTGGCACAACCAGACATTTTTACTTTAAGACAATACTACTCTCTTTTCCCCTCTGTTTTCTTTTACTTAGTACCAGTCAATTGCCTTCCCTCTTGCTTTACAGACAACACTAAAACTTTCAATGAATTCCTTGAAGTGGTTTTTCTTTCAGTAGTCTAGATTATATGGAGTCATTTCATGCGCCTTCACCACCCTGAAATGCTACACTGTAAAAATTTCAATTTCTTAATTGGCTCAAAAACAGTATGGCTTGGTTTCACTTGGCAAAGTTAATACAATTAAAAAAAAAAAAAACCCACAAAAAAATATATATATATTTATATCACGCACACACATACACACACATTTTTAATCAGGAAGAAAAATAAAGATATGCCAATCTGAAAAGGCATTAAAGTAAAAAAATAAAAGCAAATGCTAAAAACTACTTTACAATAAAAAAACATTAAATAACTGGCAGGATAAATGAATGAAAAATGAGGAATGTGCAGTGAAAAACAAGCTAATATATGGTATTCCAGTTGATAAAATGGAAAACTTGTTAAGTTTTGTGGTTTGTTTTCCAGGAAGCTGTTTCAACATAAATTTTGAGATACTTCAAACATAAAATCTAGGTGCCAATGTCAAAATTTCAAATTTTGCAAGCAAGCCTTAATAAAGAAACTGGTAGAATTCCAGTCTTTGAAAATTCTGTTTTGGCTGGCACTGTAAATATCATAATTGTTGTTATTGGAAAGTTATGATAAATTCAGAATTAGGATAAAACTCAGTTCGTAAATATTTCATTTGATTAAAAATACCAGGCTTGCACAATCTAAATAATCTGAGAAATATCCTTTTTTTAAAAAGTCTGCAATTTAACAGTAATCTGCATCTCTTTAGCTGCCATTAAAACAAAAACAAAAACAAGACATAAAAAGAACCCCAAACCATGAAAATGTTACAACTGGTACAAAGTAACCCTATGATGAGCCCACGCTTCCATTACAAGGAAAACAAAACTGTACACATTTATAAATAAACAATCTTTCCACCAGTTAATACACAGAGCTTCCTTTACACCAAAGTCTCCTTCCGTTTGCCGCAGAGCTGGGCTTTGTCCCTGGCTCTTCGGAAGCCAGCCTGTGTCCGGTGTGTTTTTGCACTCTTGGTGTCTGCCACCTGCAAGCTGGAGCTAAATTCTGAGGCGTTTTCGTCACCTTCTACCTGCATCATGCTGGAAACTGTGGACGCCCTTCTCTGGGCTCTGAGGTTCCCAGCAGAAGGGTTGTTCTCTTCACACTCTTCGTGGAGCTCTGGCAAACCCTGAAGCTCTGGTGGACTGACGGCCTGCTGGAAAGGGGCAATGGCGGTTCGGATACAATTGAACCACTGCTGCTTATGGAATACATCATTGGCTTGCAGAGTGTGAGACTGGCCTGGAGAGGGGTCTTGGAAGCGGACTCTAAAGATATTTTTAGCTGTAAAAATAAAAATTGAAAAAAATGGAAATGAGATTTAAGAAACTGTTTAAAGAAAGTAGTCATATTGTCCTAACACAGGCACTAGGACATCTGTAACTTGTACACTGTTAAAGTGAGCCATCACAGTCACGAAGCACCTGATAGCTCAATGTGTGTAATGAGCACAGGATAAGAGAATCATTTCATTTTAGAATTCTTAAAAAGGTTAAAACTAGATTTATTTAGATTCTGAGCTTAAATTTCAAAACTTGTATTCTACCTTTATCTGAGTTGCCAAAAGCCCCTCGAAAGGAGCCTCCCATGCGCACATCCCCATCCTGCAGGTCTTCTAGCACCAGCTCCTGGACTGGGATGGGCTGCCGGTAAACCTGGTAGGAGTGGCGCTCATTTCGTGTAACAGGCCGGGTCAGAACCAAGATGTCTTGAAACAGGAATATGTAAAGTTTCTAGAGAAATGAGAAACAAGTGTTTTTTAAATATGAAACTTCATTGATTTTAAGTGACTGAAATATACTGTTAAAAACTTGATTTGACATTACTAATTTCATCAAATTTATTTAACTAAGATCTTTCTCTGACTTTATAAAATAGTGATTTCATGACTATGCATGTTTTATTTGGAAAACTCAATCCAGACTTGATAATTTTTTTTTTTTATTGTTGTGTGCTATCAGGCAACAGTTGAGTAAACTATGCATCACAAAGACCTATTAGCAGTCTCATGACTTGAATCGCCACTATTTCATTTCAGTTTTCTAAAATAGTAGGAATTATAAAATGCAAGCCAGATGAATGTTAATGGTTCCATTTTGTCCACAGAAATTCAAACCTTTGTAAAACAATTATGCCTTGTGATGGAAATCGGAGATGTCAGCTTTCAACTTTTCTAAGTAGGCCTCAACTTACACACTGTGCTTTTAAACAGCATATAATAAAATGAAAATATTATTTCACGACTAAACTTAGTTCTAGTAGGTACTTTTTTTTTTTTTAATTTTTTTTAATATTTATTTTTCAGTTTTCGGCAGACACAACATCTTTCTTTGTATGTGGTGCTGAGGATCAAACCCGGGCCGCACGCATGCCAGGCGAGCACGCTACTGCTTGAGCCACATCCCCAGCCCCTAGTAGGTACTTTTGTAAATAATATTTCAAAAATAAATTTGCTTCCATTCAATCTGTTGTAGAAATTTGTTGAGTAGTGCTAAAAACTACTTCCATAACTCTATACTCTTAAAGGATTCTTTTTATTAAACATTACAGAACTTAGGAAAGAACCCTTAGCTAAACAAATTGATTTATACTTCAAAACTGGAAAATGAATATTACTAATTCTTCTCTGAGACATTTAAGTCAGTTATTCTATTACTGTAGAAAACAAATGCTTGCTTTATCAAAACTGATAACAGAATAAAAATCAGTTACCTTCTTTCATTATGCTATGAATTTACTTTCACAAACTTGCTTCATAATTTACATGCAAAAAGTTAAGCTGGGTGTGAAAAGGAAAATAATGGCTTACTTCCTGTTAGTACTGAGATGTACTTACATGTCCATTTTTATTCTTCAGCTCCCCGTGGCACAGAAGCACTTTACTTGCTTCAATTCTAGGGTCCTTCTGTTTCTCATCCAGATATTCTAGCTTGTCAATGTAATACTGGCACTCAGATTCACCTTTCTTCAAGTTGATATCGGAGAGAACTCCTTGTATTATCACTACCTACAAATAATTAAGAAATGGATGAGTAACTTTTGTATATTAACTTATCCTGCTTCCTTATGGAGTAATAATGTCACATGAAATGACAGAATTAAAGGCTTGAATCAATTAATTCAGTCAGTCCTTTCATTATACAAATGAAGAAAAACAGTCTCAAACTGGGTGATTTGTCTGAAGTTAACAGCTAGCGGAAAAAACTAGATTAAAACCCAGTCCCTAGACTAAAATATAAATGTAAAATACAATTATGACAGACGTGCATCTCCTTATTACTTAGTGCACATTACATTTATTATTTGGTACTTAAAAACAATAAAACCCTTTGCTATGCTGATTCAATACATGTACGATTTCAGAGTACATTCTATACTTTCCTAAGGCATCCCAGTATATGAATGAAAAATAAAGGATTCATTTAATGGACTACTTACTGCTTCCTCCAGAAGCTGAACATCAGGGTGGTCTTTTGGAGTGTGTCTAAGAATTTCTTTTAACAGTAAAGGGTATTTGACTAGGCGACTTCGAGGGATATCTAGGAAGCTCCAAAGATCTAGTTTTCGACTGAAGGGAGACTCAAGACATCGCTGGAGAAAGTCTTGGACTCTTGGATCTTGTTTCTTTTGATCAAGAAGAGCTTTGGCTGCCAGCTGGTTACTGCAATAGCCTTTGTAGGCATTCAAACCTGGTAACTGAAGAATAATAAAAACAAGTAAGATGCATTCCTGCTATGACCGAGTGCATCCATAAGCCTGTGAACATGAAATGCAGAATGACAGTATAGCTATGCTTGAGTTTTAACAAGCTGTCGACATTTTCTAGAGATGATAATGGGAGCAGAAAAGTATTCTGGACCAACATCACAACACTCTTGGATGAGTTCCTTAAGTTGGCTAAATTCAATTAAAGACTCACTCATATGACTTCTACTCCCCCAATCTCACTTTGATGTCAGTTGTTGGGAATTCTAGGACACCTGAGCATCTTTAATCACATTCTTCACTGACCCTGAGACTGTTTATGGGCTCAACTATTTATACAAGGGTATAAATGCAGGTCTTTCACTATGGAATCCCCAGTGTCCCTTCCTTGAATAGTATCTAGCATTTAGCAGGCACTTGAATTTTTAAGTGAAGGAATGCAACAGGTAATCAACAGCATATAATGTGGAAATTCTGTCCAAGCAGGAACATATCTGTAAATATATTTGTAACATGATTAAACTATACCATTAATGAAGTTTTATTTATTTATTAAAAAAAAAGGTAACCTTTTTTATCATACAATTACTTAGTTTTAGTGCCTTTTCTGTTTGTAGAATCTAGTTATGCAATCAAATTGTTTTGATATCCATCAAAAACTGTTGTAGGGCAAATCTACAAAAAGTTGAGGGGGATCAACAACTCTATGCGTACCCAGTTCACAAGAATGTGCCCGATCTGTTCCACTGTTCCATCAGGCTTGGTGGCTTCTCCTAGTCTTGCCAACAAATCTGAAGTGCAAAAAAAAAACAAAAGGAACAAAGATTTTAAAATAGGTGAGAACTACATTACTTGTTTAGATTTAAAATTACTTGTGTTACTGCTGTTTAGATACTTATGAAAATTAAGTAGTATATCTAACCTTCATGCAGAGGTATATAAGCATCCAAATCACCAAATATGTGTGTGAGTTCTTCTTCTGACATGATAGACAACTTTAACATGGGGTCATGGTAGGCCTAATCAGAGGGAGAAATGTGTCATACAAAGATCAAGCAAAGCAAATGTGATGAGTGATGCACCTGAAAGTATATGAATACATAAAAGCTAGTGTGGACTCTGTTTGCCACACATAGAAGAAATTAAAGTATATATCAATCCCCCCAAAGGCTCTCTAATACTCATTTGAAGAGAGATGTCTAAATCTCATCCCAAAACTATATTTATCAGTAGATATTTTCTCCTTTACTATTTTTAAAGGTTAATAAACCTATTCTTCAGAATTTTTTGAAATGTAATTTTTAAAAACTTGGGTTCCTGATAAAAAATGATCTACTAACCTTTCTTGCAAGCTTGAGATCCTCAATTAAATCCTGTTCACCCCGGGACATTTCATATATTGCCTAGAAAACACCCAGCAAACATCAGAGGTCATTGCTTTCTTTGAGAAAGGAAAATTATATATAATTGATATTTATATTTAACTAATGCTTTGAACAGCTCTTTTTAAAGTGACTTAAGTCTGAAAACTATAATTCGGAATGGAATCTCAAATAAAAGGTTGTCATACATTTTATAATTTTACCATTAGAGTTGTTCAAGTTGATGACGACCACCCATCACAAAGGCTGTTCAATATGAGTTATACATTTTTACTCAAATACAAAAAATGCAAGTTAATTTTGTCATACTCATTACTATGCTATTCTTCTGGCAAAACATTTAAAAAGCATGTCTTTTTTCTTAGTATAAGCCAATAAAGTTGCTCTTGGTGCTGAAAGCCAGCATACCTCCTGACGTTTGATTTCTCTGGTTGTCAAAGACTCCTTCATGCTGATGTCTAACATCTCTGACCATAGCACACTGCTTCTTCTCTTGGCTGGCGTTGGGACTGTTGATCTGCTAGATGACTTCTGGGCAGAGGCTGGGGATCTGTGGTCACCACGAAGGGTAAATGACTGAAAGAGGCAAATAAAAGAAAAAATAGATTTGGAGGCTACTTATCGTTCTTTAAGTGAAGAAAGAAGAAAAAGTTCTGAGTTTCCTCAATGCATAAATCAATCATTTGCCAAAGTTTCAATCTATAATTTATATAAATACTTGTCAGCTCAAATTACTTTTTGGGAATAAAAATTAAGACTATCTTTTGATGCATCTTAGTTCAATACAGGTTATATAAACACTGTTCTGCTAATACTATTACTTACCAGCAGATTCCAAAAAGAAAACTCATATGTTTGAACAGTGCAAACATGTTTGTATAGCTCAAAGAAAAATAAAAATTTTAGGCTCCTATAGAACGTCTCCTGCTGTATCCTTTACCCTTCCCTGTATCTATTTATATATTAATTTTTTACCTGTATTGTTTGACCAAAACGTCTGACTGCTCCATTTCTTACAGGAGAGATTAAGTTTGCCAAGGACGTGACCCGAGCAAGAGGTCGAACTCTTTTATTGCTTGGCTCCTGTAAAAACAAAACCAGACTACACTAAATGTGTGTTTAGGTGCAATGATTTCATACAAGCCTGGACAAAGTTAAGCCCTCTCACAGAACAATATTTGTACGTTTTAAGATGGAGAAACACAGAACTCAAAAAATGAATATTGTTCTTTACCATTAAAACAGACTACTACTGAATAACTTGCTAAAAAATGAATATTGTAAGAAAGGCCAGTCAAATATCTGAATATTAGTTTAACAATGTAACAAATTTACACTCAGAAGAAAAACTAAGATTAAAACAAAGAAAAATCCTATAAAACTTTTTAGTTTAATGAGGAAAATAACTTAAAAAGGCCTTATAAAAAATTTCAAACACACACAGAAGTGGAGAAAAGCATAATGAGTCATTCAACTTCAACAATTTCTGGTATAACTATTTGTCTCATTTCTGCCCCTATCTGAATATTTTAAAGCAAATCCTGGACATTATATAATTCCATTCTTAATGACTTTAATTAAAAAATATTTTATATAAACAAGTCTGGTATTGGAGTGAATCAAAAAAATATTTAAGCCATGACAGGGGGCTGATTACAAAGGCTCCCAGACTCTAGGAGTCAGAATGTTTGGCTCAAATTATGGCTCTGGTACTTGCTCAGGCATTCCCTGGGCCTTAGTTCTCTCATCTGTAAAACTGGGCTAATAATTATAACTTCTAAAATGTTGTTGTTATGAAGACTAAATGAATAAACAGGGATCAAAACAGTGCTTGGTACACACCAAATTTTAGTTACTGCTAACATTCTTGAGGTATTTCCACTTACTACTTAAACATAAGGGTTTATAAAAAATTAAGTCCTCTCTCACATGATTAATTTATTAACTTAAAGGAAAATACAAATTCAGAAGAAATAGTTATTATTCTGAGTCTACTGCTAGCAAAATGGAGGCATATCATTAGGTGACTCACATAGTTATTCAGATAAAAATGGTACGTCACAAAACAGGCATGTCTATTTTTTATAATGTTGATGGGATATAATTTTTTTGTATTTGGTGCTCTCGACAACATGATTTTGATGAGAATTCAGAAAGATATATCATTAAAAATTATTAAGATCACTGTTTAAAAATACAAATTGTCACTTAAAAATTGTAGAACATTTTTTTTTCTAAAAATTTTTTGACATAACTAAAGTCTCATAAAAAGGGATGAGGAAACCAAATAAAAAAAATTAAAAACTGTAAAGGAACTTAATGATTGAAATATCCAAAGCAGCAGTTATACTTATGGAAGCTCCTAAATGTATAATACATATATAATATATATTAATCAGAAAGGAATGTAAACTGTTGAAGAGACTCTGTAGATAATTAAAGAGAATTCAGAACCTTGACTTTGGGAGAGAGCAAGCAAGTGAGCAAGTCAGAGATGTTAGACCACTCCCCAATTTCCAAATAATACACTGCAAAGTAAGATTCTGATTATGAAACAGCTGGTATGTAAATGTTACATGAACTGAAAAAGAAACCTTCAAGATATGCAGTAAGATGGCACAGGCTATGCAGCGGAAGACATGTGAATGTTTTTACCATACACATCTGTGCAGACTGAGTGACACACACGTGTGCACAGGCCAGTGCAAGGCATTCCTTTCCATTTAGTAAAGACAGTACAAAGAGTCTTCTATTTGAATGAAGATAGGATTACCTCACAAAGTAAGACATGCCAACATTAACTAGAAACAAAGCAGTTGTCAGAAAGTTCTGTTCTGCTTTTTGGAAACAGAAGTTAGCTGCTCTTCCTTGTTTAAAGTGTAACACATTTGACTTCCCAGTAAATCATAAAACATGTAAGTCCAATTTAAAAGTTTTTGCAAAGGTGTTCTTCCTGGTGAATTTGAAAGGAGAAGCTAGTTTAGCTTGGGGAGAAAGAATTTTTGATATTATTTTATTACATGAAATCAAATTCATGTTAAAATTTTTTATCTTTATAGAATTAGTTATCGTACAACTATTAATTTCCTGGCAATTAAAAATTAGGTAATGTTAAAAAAAACTACAGAATTTAGATTTAGATATAAATATATCAAAGCATGTTTCGACACTAACATGGACTTTGTTTATTCAGTCTCCTTAGGGTGGTGGGATATCATGCCAAGCAATATTTGGTGGTTAAGTTGCATGGTTCTTTAAAAACAACTATAATCTCGTTTCTCCACAAAGGACATGTTACTCTTCAGAGTTTATCAAGCCTAAAGTGCTTGCCAAGAAAGAATGATGCTAAGTCATAAAATATGAGTGGGGGAAGGGAGAGGAGAAGGACATCTCTGCACTTTTTGTACATGTTTTTTGGGATCCAATAAAAACCTTCCTGCTTTAGTCAAAGAACATATAGGAAGAAAGTTTGTCAGATACAACACAGGCCTTTTAGCATACATGTATTTCAAAAAAGTTAAATTTTAAGGAATAAAATAACTTTAAAAGTGTGATTATGAAATTTAACAGTGCAATACTGAAAATGGCCTACTGCCAATTTCAGAATTCATATGCTATTTGAAAAAAAAATGCAGAAAATTTTTTTGGAAAAGTAATATTGATTAGGCATTCAATGGGTTACCTAAAAAGCAGGGACAAAAAAACCTGTCCCTTTTGGAACACGGGTTAGGATTTGGCCCATGTGACTTAGAAACTTAAGTAGTAGTTCTAATTGAAAAAAAAAAAAAAAAAAGTTTTTCTTTACAGTTCCTCTGAACCATTTCAATGATCTGAATTTTATTATTAAAAACCCAAATATGTGTCACTGTCACAAAACATATTTCTAAGACAAGGTTTTTAGAGAACTGGTATTACACCTATATTCACTTCTTAATACTTATAGGAAATAGATAAGGTATTTGGAGGCAATGAAAAAAAAACTGAATAGGAATATGCATAACTTCCCACCACCAAAAGAAGGCTCAGATAATTTTGGTGGTGGCGGTGTATTTATTTCAAAGTGCTGGAGGCATGTTATGGTGAATACAAGAAGCTTAGAACAGGTGAGGATATTGAAACAATAACTCTCCTCAAAAGACATTTCAATAACTCTCCTTCCTCAAAAGATAATCTGAAAATCATGGGTATAAACAAAGAATACCAATAAGGTTTCCCTGCTCAAAGACTTTCTACTGTAGACAATTTTTTACCAAGGATAAAGTTCACTTGGAAGGGGAAAAAAACCCAGTGCTCTCACAATAAGTTTATGTTGTTTATTTTGGTTAATTTTTAATCAGACTATCCAGTTTAGATAGACAGTCCCATGTATTATCACAGGAAATCTGCCTTTACACTGGGCTTATACTTACTTTTCATAATTCACTTATAGTTAGCTTTTTGTGCCCTAAAATATTTTCTGGATGTCTATAAACAGAAAATTGTTAAGATTAATTTAGTTTTTTTTTTAAATTTAGCTTTTTATCAGGATATATTTTACAGATAAATGCAACACCACAGAAGTACATACATTTAAAGTCTGAATTTAGCTTTTTTGCCAAGAAGGGTTTTTCTAACCATGCCACTTAGAGAGTATATTTTAGGGCATTGACTTTTCTATGGTCAATTGAATCAAGACAAAAAAGTCAGTTTGTGTCTGGGTTTATTCGTCCTGGGTTACTAGATTCACGGTTCTTTCCTACCTAAGGAGAACTTTAAAATCAGAAGAGTAAAAATAAACTTATTTTCAAAAAACATAAAAATAAGTTATGATCACATGGGTTTTTTTCCCCTTTAGACTTGGAAACAGAAATACTCAAATTATTAAGCTGTTCTAAAACAACACATTCCCGGTGTTTTTAATCTTCAAATAAAGGTATGCCAGAAACATGGCTCATATCCAATACTAAATAAAAAAGCCTAGTTCTTGATGGGCCAAAAGATGATCAGTTTTAGAATTAACATTGATGACCATGTATGTTTGAGTTGTTTTACTCAAAGAAAACAATTATATATTTAAAGAACATTGAAGCATACAAACCAAAACCAAAACCAAACAAATAAATATCCAAGGCAATCCACACCAAATAAATGCATACCTCTCTCTTAAAGATGGTAGCTATTTTAACTGCCAAAAGTTGTGTAGATATGTATGAAAAATGGCTTCACAGAGGTATACAATAAACTGCACATATGTAAAAATGTATGTTTTGACATATGTATACATCTGCAGACCCATTACCACAATCCAGAGCTATACAGTTAGCTGAATACAGGAATATTTCTATTACATACATTTCTATTACATAAGTAACAATGTGGTATATACCAACAGTTCATACTTTGCAGTACATAGTACAAGTACTTCCCAGTACATAATACATACAGAATACCATATAGTGTTAAATACCAAGATTATATAAAATGTCAAAAAATAACTTTGTTAAATGTTCATAAAGACTTTAAAAAGCCAAAATGACATCTGAAAATTAAAGCAAGGAGAAATATTTAAGCAAGGATAAAGAACTTAGATAATGTTACTGGGGCTTAAATATTTTAACACATTTTTTTCTTTCTGAGAAAAAAGTGGCACACAATGCGCTTATTAGAGGTGGAAAGAAAAACAAACACCCGCATCAGTTCAGACAACATTTCACTGGCATTTTGTTCACTAGCATTAATTTGTGAGGAAGAGATTCTTATTTTTCTTACTCCACTAAAGGAGTTCCTAAGACTTGGTAATATAAATTCAACTTAAAAAAACAAAAAAACCCCAAAACGCAACCACATTAATCATCAGAAAGAAATGTGACAAATGAAACCAGAGAAGTACATATATTTAAAGTCTTGTGTATACCCAAGCAGTTATATATAAGCCTATTATTTCAATTTAGACCACAGCTCCTAAATGTAATTCAAACTTGCATATCAAAGTCATACATTTTAAGATTTAATAAGACCAAAAATTTAAAATCATAGTTCATAAATTGTTAAAAATTCCCAAATGTTCTGTGGAGTTAGAAAACATTCCTCTGGCCAGTTCTCTTAAATTCTTACCTCTTGTTCTCTGAAGGACTGGTTATTAACATCTAGGACTCGGATAGTCCTTTTAATAGGTAAGAGACCTCCAATATCATCATGCGCCACCATGCTTTACCGAGTATCCCTTCAAATCTCTTGAATTAATCCACATGCAAGTCAGCCCCGTAAAGAAGCACCTTGGGGGAGCACAGGCTTTTCTTCAGAGTGCTCAGCCTCCGCTGGCAGCCATGCGCCCATGCCTCCTGCTAGTGGTGGGGCTGGCCGCTTCTGCGAACTGCAGGCAGCAAGCACTCAGACCTCAGGGCTCTGGGGGTGGAGCTGCAGCCAGCCAGGCTCCAGGGGCGGGGCCCAGTGCCACGTGACTTGAGTTAGCCTCCTGCTGGGTACACCTAGGCTTCTCAGCTTGCACTGTGCAAGAGAAAGCTCTATCAAAAGGTATGGGACTTGTGGGAGGGCAAGTGGGAAAGATGCGGGGTTAACGATGGGCAGAACGTCTCTCCTTGATTTAAAATGTATTCTCAAAGGAAAATGAAATGCTATCTAAATTACCTACTCTTTCACAAGGGCTCCTTTTTATTTTCCCTATAACATTCTATTGCCTAGGAATAGAATCAACTATAGTAAGGAAACAGGAATTTAGGGTTAAGTAGCAATATATTTAAGAAAAGCCTAAATTATCCAGAGAGCTTGATTTTATTATACATAAGTGTAAGCATATTAACAATTTTAACATTATGAGCGTCTTTTATAAGATGGTTCTTACCCCCCCCCCCCACTAGCAGGATAATACAGTAGACAAACTATATTTACTCCATTGCTGAAGAAAATATCCTACTGGATTATGGGTAAAATATAACTTTTAGGATCAGTATTACAGCAGATATTTTTCCTGTAATATTTAAAAAACTTAAAATCTGTGTACCAAATGTTTTGTAAAATTTAAAAAAAGATGATTTTTGTTCTAAAAATGTATAATAGGGTCCCTCTCTAAATTAAAAGAACTGATCTTGATATAGTTCTAATAGAGTCAGTCAAAAGACCTGCTTAAAAAGTCTTGTGATACACAAGTGAGGAAATAAGGATAATGAAGGTAAAGTGATCTCCCTGAAGTGATACACTACTGACAGTTTTCTAAATTTCTAGTCTTAAGATAAAAGAAATTTACTGTATAAAAGGCACCATTTTAGATGCTTGGGTGATTAAAACAAAAACAAGTAGGTTTCATTCTGCTCCTAAAGTGCTAATAGGCTATCCTATAAGGCAGGCCCCATGAAATGATACTGATACAAGATGGCTTTTGCAAACTGCAAATAAATGGTGTACTTAGTAAGTGCCTCAGGCTGTAAGATGTTATTTCAGTAGGGCCTTGAATGCCATGTTATTTGTTCACCGGTTTAAGCAAGAGAAAAATGCAAGTGGGATGAGGGAGTAAACTCACACTATAAGGTAACAGGCTGTGGGTAAAGACATAAGAGCAGATGACTTTACTAAGCAAGTGAGAGAGACAACAAGAACCATGTTGTAATAAGATATGTGACTGGTGTTTAAGGTGGTTGAAACTGAAAAAATAACTGAAAAAATAATGCAAAATCACAAGGAGGGGTCAAGAACTTTGCCTAAGGTAGGGGCTTCGGGAAAGGAAAAGAATATATTCAAGAAGTCAAAGATTCCTAAGATTTTAAGCACAGGACTATAAACGCAAATAAAGAAATAAAGAGGAACAAGTTTCAAAGGAAAATTATTTCACTTTAAACACACCAAACCTGAGGCAGTGAAGAACACATAATTGAAACTATTCAGTTGGTAGATGATGGACAAGGCCTTGGAAAAAAGGCTGGGGTGAATTTAAACTGGAGAATCAGCTACATAGAGATCAGAACTAAAGCCTTGGGAATGAATGAGATGCCTCAGAGGGAAAATCTGAACAAAAAGAACACTGCTCCAAGGACCCAACTCTGCAGGACTGCCAAGGGAAAGAAAATTTTGCAAAAGGAACATTTGGAAGGAAAGAAAGAAGCCAAGGGCATAATAAAAAGTATAAATTATAGCAAAGACGTTAAGGAAGGTAAGAAAAGATCCATGGACTTAGTGATTACAAGTTTAATGAGGTTCTCAGTAGTGCTAGTACAGTAGAATAAAGATAGGTGAATAAACAGGTGTTGAAGAGTGAACAGAGAAAAATAATGGGCATAAATACTGCTAATAGTAAATAATCTATAAAATGTAATTTACTAGGGTATGTGAAATAGTGCTAATTTTTTGCAGGAAGGACCATCATTGCCCTTCTGTAGCTACCACCGATGTATTTTGTATATAAGATGATGCTAATGCTTTATCTTTCTGCTTTGAATTTTTTAATTTTTAAGTGATTTTTTTAAAAAAAGAGATTGGTTATATTTTACCATCTATTCTCTATTATTTGGTCACATATTTTGGAACTAGGTGTGATGTGGTTGGTGTTACGAGTGAAGAACTGTTTGTAGAAGATATTTCTATAGAGTATTACAGTGGAAGCACCTAGACAATGTGAACTCTAGTTCCCTAATGTTACAGGTAGAGAACTAATCTCCCCAGGTTCTCAAGAGCTATACGAATAGCCTAGGCTAGAACCTTACAGTTTGGTTTAGTTAGCTTTCTCAGTTAAAAATGGTGTCAGTGAGGCCAATACTTTATGGTCACTTGGTCTCATAAGGGAATAAAGGATAATGTGCAGACAGAGTTAGGAAAGAGGTTATTAGGGAGTTCTTGTGGGTCTCTTACCTGATATCTTTCTCAAAATTATGTTTTTCAATTTAGTTCTATTTGAAGTTATTCCAAGTTAATGAGGGAGAAGGGATATCTTTCATTTTCCTCTTTTAGCTGGGGACCCAAGAGGTAAAGGTAGAAGTCTTTCTATGTACAAACAGAAAGCATACATGAAACAAAAAGGTTCTAGTGATGACAAATTAAAAAAAAATTCCTGGCTCATCAACAATGAAATTTTAGTTTCATTTAAAATGTGTAGGTTAGTAGTCTAATTACATGTAGATGTTCAATTAGTATTCTGAGAGAATGTGAGTCTTTGGATTCCATAAAATCAAGGTGCAGGGTAGGCAAAAAGATAATACAATTCCAGGTGTTTAAACAGTTTAGGAGAGATCCTATTTCAAAGAATCATGATACTTTAATTATGTTGTTAATAGCAACAGTTTTTTCTTTCTACAAATGGTATAATAGAGGCAGACTGGTTAATTGTCTTTGTGTAGAAAATCTAGAATTTATAAACCTAAAAACCAAACTGAGTTATCTAAAAATAATAATGTAGTTTTGTAAAAGGGATCAAGCTTTTTTAATTTTTTAAAATACTGGTTCCTAAAGACATGTTTAGTTGTAGGCTCTGTTTTGCTTGTATGGAGCTTTTAAAAATGCTTTCTTCTCCTAAAATATGAATAAGATAAAATTATTTCGACTTTCTCTATTAAAAAATGACTGCTAGGCTACCTATTTTCTCCCTCTTTTAATGTGAAATATGTTTTGAAATGTAGAAATAAATTAGAATTTAAGAAAAATCTGAGCTGAAGATGTAACTCCGTGGTAGAGAGCTTGCCTAGCATGTGTGAGACCCTGAGTTCAATCCCCAGTACTGAGAAAAAAAAAAGAAAAAGGATAGTCCTTATCATTTTGGTCTAGGTACTATTTTTACTTACTTATATCTGCAATAATAATGAGCATTTGAATACTAAGCTAGAAAAGCCATATTATGGACAGAGAAAAACATCTAAGTTCTCTTCTGCCCTCTACAGGAGATATTGTGAACTGCAATGAAATTTTTAACCTGTTTTTTTTTTGTTTTTCAATTTTGTAATTATGTTCGCAAAGACATTGTAAAGATGACTACCATCAACAATCTTTGTATAAAAGTATGAATGACAGCAAAATTTGTATCTTCAGTTCTTATCTAGTTTTCATGTTTCGTATTACTAAATTAAACATATATTTAACAATCATATATAAGTATATTAAAATTTCACAGTTCACAAGAAATATTATAAGGGCTTTTCTAAAATAAGAAAATCATGTTCCATTTTAAAATTATAGATTTAAAGATTACAAATACTACTATATATCTCACTAAAAATTGGTTAAAATCAGAATTAAAAATCTTACTTAAAAAAGGAAGCAATAATTAGAAAATGGAACTTTTAAGAAACCAGAGCTCTAAAATATCTAGCAATAAGTTAAAAACAACATACACAAACACAAAAGGAAGTTATAACATTTGGACTAAATGAGTATGAAAGAAACTAGTAATGAAATTATATGTGGATTTGGGTTTTTAATATCACTTGGATAAAAATTTGAGTGTCCTATTTACGTTTTATTAGGAATTTGCTTTAGGAAAATATCATAAATTTGGATCAATTAAATACTATTAGAAAGAGGTATATAAACAAAATAGTTTGGCAGGCTAGGAAGTATTTATCAAAGCAATGGTTCTTTTTGCAGTGATAATAGAAACAGTAAATAAAATAATGTACACAGGATTTTAGTGATGACTTTTTATCTCAAGTATACATACAGGTTAAGAAATAATTTCCAGTATAATATTTGATCACTTATGCTCATGTAGTAGGATGTTGGGTGGGATCCCTCTCATTTTCCCTGACTTTAATTAAGACTCCACATTAAATACAAAACACTACTGTGTCTTGAACCCATTTTCCTCTTTTTTCAGCCCATTCTCACTTCACTCACTGCTGAAACAACCAGCTTCCTTAAAGGTGACCTTGCAGCTCCTGGTCTTAGCTGCACTGTGCATCCCTTGCCTTGCACCTGCTTATTGGAGGCTCTGTGTAAAATCTATGTATATGTAGCCTTACAGGGTAAGTGATGGATACCCCAAGGGCCACCAATGACTAGTGGAGAAAGAAGGTCCTCTCTTCAGTCCCCTGATAGAGCCCCCAGTAAGACCAATTCTAGTTGCCCACAGTGGTGTCCAGATTAATTGTAGACATTGCATGAACCTCCTCTGTTTTACTTCCCCATCACACCTCAAGATAGATCACCTGTCAAATGAGCCCTCATTTCAGGCCCTGATTTCTGGAAAGAATTTAGGCTAAGACACTGACAATGAAACTGGTCTAGTGGTGAGACACAGGACAGGACTCTGGAATAGGATTTCTCATTAGTAAAACGGTAACATGGTATGGATCAGGATGAGGTACAGATAAAGCAGTAAAGGCAATGGCTTAGGTACTCATGGTAGCAAATGAACAAGAGAAGGGGCAGTGG